CCAGAGGAAAAAGAAAATCTCTTCCATGTACCCACAGACTTCCCACCTAGCCTGTGGCGGTGGTGTGATAGGCTAGGCAGGGTATACCTGTACGAGGCCAGGCCACTGCCGGGCTCTTCCTGGAGTCACAGCATGCCAAAGCCTCTGTAGATGATTTGGTTTCACCTCTCCATTAAACCACCAGGAAAATCAAGGCCCAGAAAGGTGAAGTGGCTGTCCCAAGGTCACACAGCTAGTTCTGTCACTCTCTGGGAAGATGAGCAGAGTGCTCTCCCTGGCCCTTGGGGCTCAGGGTAGGACAGAGCTCTTCTGTGCTAGGACTTCTGACCTCCTGGAGAAGGCGAGGGGAGGGTCCTGGCTTCATGCTTTCAGGCTGCTGTAAGACTGGAGTAGCATACAACAGCCTCTCCAGGCAAAGAGGGCTCTTCTCTCCCTCTCTTATAAGGCTTGGCATCTCGCTGGGTGTTCAAGAGCCCCTCATTCTGCTGACACTCCTCCAGTTAGAAGTCAGGGTGGAGGGGAATCCAGGGAAAAGCCCACCCTCCCATCCTTAAACCCCAATTGTTGTTGTTGTTGTTCTGTTTTTTGTTGTTTTTTTTTTTAGTCATTTTATCTGGCAGAGGACCCAAACCCCAATTATGAAATCCATCCTGACCCACTTTTGGGTTCTTCTCATACACCCACACTCAACCTCAGAAATCAGCGCAGCGCATCCCCACATTCGCGCTAGTTTAGGTGTGTGGGGTGGGAAGAAGAGAAGGATGGTCAGGAGGGAGCCCCTTTGTGGCTACTTGCTTTCTTGGTGTTCCTAAACACACGAGACTCATATGTAGCCAGCAGGTAATAATATCCCCGGACCAGACCCCAGGATCACGATGAAGTCCCTGGGGTACAGGGGGCTCAGATCTGTAGTGAATGAGTGAGAGTGAATGTGTAGTAATGTCTTTCTCACAGGGACAGGCATGATGTCCTGGTGTCCTGAGGACCCATCTGGTGCGTTTTCCACAGGGGAGGAGTATGGTACCTACTCTGGAAGCTCTCCAGCCCTCTGACAAGGTATCTTCAGGCCTATGAGTCCTTTTCAGTTCCCTAGTCTGAAACCAAAGCTCGGTGGGGTTATGTGATGTGTCTGGCATCCTGGGGCCAGTCAGTGGCACAGCCCAAACCTGCACCCAGGCCAGAGCTGTCCCAGCACACTGCACCCCAGCTCCTCCTGGGTGGAGAGCTGCCTCTGGAGGGTTGCTAGGCTAGGGTGGGGAGCAAGCTATGGGCAGGCTGCTGGAGACGTTGGGGGCTTTGGTCCACCTTCCTCAGAGGTGCCACTTCTACTAGGGGCATCCTCGGAGACTCAGAGGACACGAGCCTTTGTTCTTAGACTTTATACTTCAGGGTAGACCCATCCTTCTCACGTTTGCTAAGGGCGAGGCCTAGAATTCCCTGAAAAGCAAAACTGAGTGAGATGTCTTGGATTCAAATCTCAGCTCTGCCTTTTACTAGCTATTTGACCTTTGAGTAAGTTACTTCTCTGACTTCTCTGTGCCTCAGTTTCTACAACCATAAAATGGTAGGCTGGAAAGAAACAATAACTATGTCCCAGGTCGTTGAGAGGCACAAGAAACCACTCGAATTAAAGTGCTTTCCATAGGGATTGGCAGACATGAATGCTCACTGCACCAGGGATTCAACTTATATGAACTGTGAGACTCCCGGGTGCCAAGCACTGTGCTAGACACTCATAAATATAATGAAAATTTCATGGAAGTGGAGTACAAAGTACAGAAGAGCTAAGAAGAAAGAGAACAGTTGGTTCTTTGTAGCCAAGCTCTGAGGAATCTGCCCTGAAGAATGCTGTGTAATGGGCCTGTCTCCTCCAAGTGTCCATCCCTCAAGGTCCTAGACCTGTTCCAAAGACCTGCATTAAATTCCACCCACTTGTGCAGGAAGTGAATTGGGAGGTAGAAACATCGGGGAGCAGGGCTTGGAAAAGCCCAGCACTGCCAGGGCAGGGCCCAATTAAATCTATGGGCTAGGGAGCCAGGTGGAGTCCACAACCTCCCCGCTCCTCTGCCAGGAATTCCCTCCTCCCTGGCAGCCAGGCACTCAGCATTAGAAGAGATCTACCCAGGCACAGGCTGTGAGAGCCCTGAGCCCACTGGAGGGGAGGATTACTCAGTTGGTAAATCCTGCCTTCCCTGTAATCCTGGTGCTCAGAGAGACGCTAAGCTGCACTCCCTCTCGACCAGCTCTGACCAATTCCAAACTGAAACAACTCCCCAAGTTTTCTTGCTCTTCTTCCTTCTCCTGATCCTTTCAACGTAATTCCCTCAACTTCCCCTTCCAGTTCCATCCACACTGTTTACTGAGGCATTTCCTTCCCAATCCCGTTCCCCAAGAGTATCCCATTCCTCCTGCTTGCCTCCACCCTACCAGGCAAATGGGGTGCCCTGTGCCATTTTGGGATTGATTATGAACAAGGTCCCATTTCAACCTAGCAACCCCTTAGGGGTTCAAATAAAATTCCCACCTCTCCTTTGAGGAACCAAGGAGCCTATTTTCCAAAGAGCTGGGCTGATGTAAATAGAAAGCCCATTGCTACCGGGCCCAGTTAGAGTGCCTTCAGCCCTTAGGGGGGAAGTGGGGCTTCTTCTGGCAGAAGAGGGATGAGTATCTAGTGCCAAGTGGGTCCCTGTGTACTGTCTGTGCACTGCAGAACTTCAGGGGGCACCATTCCTATTGTGATACCCCTAGAGTTATGCAATACAGTGGCTCTGAGCTAGCAGCCTCCTTCCTGCCTTTCTGCAGAGGCTGTCAACAGATCCCCAGGGCCAGGCCCTCCTGCCCAGCCTTCTTTGTCCTACTTCTCTCCCTGACCCTGTCCGCTGGCAGCCAGGGCCACCTTAAGTGGGGTTTTAGAGGACATCTGCCCTACAAAAGCCTGAGGCTACCAAAATCAACACACTCCCTAAAGCTTTCCGGTGAATCTTATACGGCAAGTCCTGAAGACTTTCAAATGTAGTGCCTTTCTTCTGATGAGCCTGGGAGGAAGGGGAAGTAGTTGGCACCAATACAGGGAGACAGGTGGGCAGCCCAGTGCCATGGGGTCAAGCAGTAAATCATTTATTCTCACCCACCGAGCTGGCTATTGGAAGCAGGTGGAAGAAGGGAAGTGGGGAGGGATCTTTTATTTTTAAATCTTTCCTGTTCTGATTAAGCATTTCTTTTCCCTCTGACCTTCACTGGTCCCATTTTGGCAGATCAAACAGCCAGCGAGTCAGAGGGAGGCCTAGGCCAGTGACACATGGATTCCGGGTGGGCCAGCCTGCTACCGCCTCCTCGCTGCTATGGCCGGGCTGCTTCCCAGGCAGCGGCAGGAGACTGCGGCTCATCTGCGCCAGGCCTGCAGGTGCCTCGGGAAGCCCTCGCGGGGCTCCAGGCTCCTGCGGCTGGATGGGTCGCGAGTGGGGCGAAGGCGGAGATGAGCAGCCCATCGGGGGCCCCCGGCCACTCAGCCTGGAGACTTGGCTACCCGTGGTTCCTGCTGTTCCTCCGTGAATTACAACCTGCCAGTTTGACTTTGGGGAGAAACAGTCACTTGTCTGAGGATAACAAAAAGATCCAAATCTCTGCCTCTTCCCATCATTTGGCTGGATAGCCTAGGAAGCATGTGTGTTTTAAACAAATTTCCAAGGAACTTGTGGATGCACACAGTTTAAGAGAAAACGGGAACGGTCGTGGTGTGGCCTGCATTATACTGGGTGGGTCCGACAAGGGAATCTGGGGAAGGAGGAGGAAGGACCGGGGTCCTAGAAGAGGTTTCCTGGGGTCAGGGCGGAGGTGAGCACCAGGTCGCCAGGAGCAGCCAGCATCGCCTCTAGCGCATCCGGCCCCATCCCCCACAGCATCCCCAACATTCTCGGGGTCCAGCCACACCCTCCACCAGCTCTGCCTCACCCCTGCTTCCCCAGTCCCCAACCCGGACAGGCCGGGAGGAAGAAGCTGGCCCCTGCCGGGCCGCCGCCTGCGACTTCCCCTCTGATCCACAGGTGCCGGTAAACAAAGTGCCGCAGCCGCCGCTCTCCACCCCCCGCCCCCACCTCGTAGAGTTTGGCTCAAGGTTACGCTGGAGTTCGGGCGGTGCCCGCCGGGGGGCCCCCAGACCCAGCTTCTGGGCTCTCCCCGGCTTCTCAAGCCCACCGGGTCGGGTGCCTTCTTCCGGCTCCGAGCTGCTCCCCTCGCTCCGGGCTGGGTTTCCCCCTGAAAGGTTGGTCTGGGAAAACCCACCTGGGTCCTCGAGCTCCCCTCTGCACGGGGACCCCAGCCCTGGCTCCAGTGGCCACCCTGGGGCGGCCTCGGGCATCTTCTCCCCGTCGCTGCCCGCCCCCACCCCTCCGCGCCCCGTAAGGACACGCCTTCCACCATCTCGCCTAGGAGGGTTGCTGGGACCCCCCGACCCAGAGCCCCGGCCACGCTCCAGTCCCCTGCTGTTCTCCTGCAAAGCCCACGGTGGGAACGGAGGGCACCGCGCGAGCCGATGCCACCCTCCCCGCCGGCCCCACCCAGACCTGCCGGTGCTGCAGTGCCCCGTATGTGCAGCCTGCAGCAATCCCGCGGCTGGGGCAGGCCCGGGGGCGGCTCGCACAGGGTAGCGGGGGAGCGGATCGGGGGTCCAGCCGCAGCCGGAGTCCGGATACCGCCCTGCGCCCCCACCCCTTCCCGCTCCCGGAGCGCAGGGGAGACCCCGAAGCGCGCGCCCCCGAGCGTCGGGCGGGTGTGGGCTGGGGTCATGGGGCTGGGGGTCCCAGGGCCGCCGGCCCGGGCCGCAGGGACAGGGGAGGGGCACTGGGCTGTGCTCTCCACCGTGCTGTTTACTCTCCGGGTAATTAGCTGGCCGGGCTGCGGAGCCTCGGACTGCGATGTTTGGCAGCCTCTCTCGCAGACCCCGGAGCTTCCTCCCCGAACCGCAACCCGGGGCCTCTGCCCTGGCAGCCCTGCGGACTTACGTCTCGGAAGCGGTTCCAGTGCTTAATCTTGCCGCTGTATTGCGAGATGGACGACAGCCATTGCTCGTCCTCCATGAAATTGCCGGGGGTCTCACCCTCCTTCAGCCCCTTGGCGTCGCCTTCAGCCAGGGCTGCCGCAGCGAGGAGCAGCAGTGGCAGCACCAGCCGCCCGCAGCCCGGGGCGCACATCGTGGTCCGGGTTCGAACTGGGGGGTCCTGACTTCTGCAGTATTTTAATGTCCTTTCTCCCACCCTGCTGCTGGAGAAGCGCACGCGGCTGTCCTCAACCCTCCTCCCGCGGTCTGCCTCTGGTGACTGACGGAGAGTGGGTCGCCGCTGAAATGTGACCTGGTTAGGAGATGCACTTGTCTGAAAAAGCCCAGCACTGGCCGCGGAGAGGGAGAGAGAATCAGAGAGGCTGCGCCAGCAGGGGCTGTAACTGTAGCATCAGCATCACGTTTGACATCATCATACCTGGTTTAAAAAAAAAGAGAGAGAGAGTGGGTAGATTTCAAAGGGAAGCGCTCGCTGGATGAGAGCGCCAAACGCCAGCCAGCCGCAGCGGGGCCCAGCCCAGCATGGCACACAGGGAGTTCAGACCAGGAAATCAGAATCCCGAGATGTCCCTGAGTTCGCTCCAAGGATGGAGAGCACAAAGGGCCCCAGGATCTCCCTGGGGAAGATGGGATGGGGAAGAGGGCGCAAAACTCTCCGGTTACAAAGCCAGGCAGGCTCAGGTGTCAGAAAGGGAATTTGGCCAGACACTGTTTTTCCCCCCTTGCCTCCCACCCAGAGGGGCCTGCGCCACAGCCCTGACAGCTGGCTTCCTGCGAGTTATAGCTCTACCGTAATGGGTGGCTTCGTTAAGACAAAAGCCGTATAACAACTGGCTGCTCAGCACCATTGCTCCCCAGCGGCTCCACGTTTAGCAAGGCAAGGCCTCAGCACTGAGTGGCTGGTGAAATAGAGGCAGATGTCCTCCTCCCCAAGCAGCTGTTTAGGGGCTGTCACCCCTTTTGTTAGCTCTTCTAGGACAACCCTAAAAGGCAAATGTCTGACCATTTCATCTGCCTTGGAGGCTGCAAATTTGAAAAAGGCGTATTTACTTATGGTTTTTTGACTTCAAGTTAGTTTGAATAAGCCACTGGGGAACCGCGAAGGGGGGTGTGTGTGTGTAGGGGGGGAGTGCTGGTTTTGTTTGAGGTGTTTCTGGTTTTGTTAAAATCATGACCCTTCTTATTGCCTGTAGATTTAAATGTTGGCATGCCAGTGGGTAAGGCTGGAGGCTGGCCACAGTCCCAGGATCACAGCAGAAATGGGGAGAGGTTTACATTTCAAATACGTTAAAGAGGAAAGAGGTCATCTGATGAGACAAAACGTAGTGAACTTTTGGGACCCAAGCCCTAGATTGTGTTTTTATAAAAATAAAAAAATAAATAAACTTAGCTGCTGTGATCTAAAACAATAAAATTTAAAAGGCAATGATCTTATAAACATGATCTTAATTAGTAGGAAAAAACACAGCTGACAAGGTTCCTTGTCACCCTGAATCGGGCCTGTCTGGGAACTCTGAATGCCTCAGTGGCTCAGGCTTGAGTCCCGCTGGGAAAACAGAAAACAATAGCTCCCTTTCCGTGTTTTCTTGTTCCCTTTGCTGTTGGATTTAGTGGTGGCGCTGCAGTGAGGCCCTGGCCATTGGCATCTTCATCTCACAGCAATAAAGCATTCTTCCTGGGTGTGTCCTGGTGCTGTACAGTGAGAGAGCACGGCTTGCTGTCATGGAGACTGGGGATCATATCCCATGGGTTTACTGGCTGAATGCTTGAGCAATTACCTATTTTCTATCTAAAATTAATGGTAATACCACCATTAAAATTGCTGTAAAACAAAAGCAAAATTACATACTAAGTATCTGGACATAATGGGCATTTTTTAAAAAGTTAACCTTCCCTCTGATTGGGAAGACAAGGCTATGGTGTCCCGTAGTTCTGAAGATTTACCAAAATTTGCCATCTTTTCCACCATCTCAGTCCTACAGTCCTAGGTTTTTTTTTGTTTGTTGGTTTCTTGTTTTTAGCAAAGCTAACTATTTATCTCTAAGGCACTGAGGAGACAGGTACCAGATACCATAGCTCTCCCATTCCTGTTATATCTTAGGGGCTTCTAGAGTTACCAAAGTTGCTGAATAGAGTTTAGAAAGGTGCTGTCAAGATGCCCATCAATGACAATAGCTGTCTCCAGACTCTGGGGGTTAAAATGGCTCCCACAGTTCCAGGTAGCTTCCCCAGTGGGATTTGCCTTTCTGTAGCACCTTCAGGCTGGATCAATACTAGCCCTGTGTCGAAAGCTAATCAACAACAGTTCAGTCCCATTAGTTAAGCCAATAGTAATGCTATTTAGGAAGAAGAACCCAAATTTCCAGATGACTGGTGTAAAAGTTGTAGGAAATGGCCCATAGTTTTAGTTTAAAAAGAGGGGAAAAAAAAGGGCCAGGTGTGCTGACTCACACCTGTAATCTCAGCACTTTAGGAGGCCAAGAGGCAGGAGGATGGCTTGAGCCTAGGAGCTCCAGACCAGCTCGAGCAACACAGCAAGATCCTATCTTTATACAAAATGAAAAAAAAATTAGCCAGGCTGCACGTGCCTGCGGTTCCAGTTACTCAGAGGCTGATGCAAAGAGGATGCTTGAGCCTGGGAGTTCAAGGCTGCACTGAACTAGGATCGTGCCACTGCACTCCAGCTGGAGAAACAGAGTGAGACTCTCAAAAGAAAACAAAAAAGAATAAAAAGAAAACCTTTTCTTTTTATTCTTTTTTAGACAGAGTCTCGCTCTGTCACCCATGCTGGAGTACAGCGGCACAATCTCGGCTCACTGAAACCTCTGCCTCCCAAGTTCAAGTGATTCTCCTGCCTCGGCCTCCCAAAGTGCTGGGATTACAGGCATGAGCCACCACACCCAGCCTGGTTTTCCTAATTTTTATAAGAATTACTGGCAGGTCAGCCTTTTCAAAACAATGGCCCCAAACATGAGGAGCCTCTAGGTATATGTGTTGAGTGGTACATATATTTACACATTTTTCTGTTTGCACTTAATATTTAGCAATTATAAAATGGAGAAAGAGAAACTTTAGTTTTCTAGTAAGAAACCCAAATTGAATACATCTTAAAACCCATTTAATTCCATTTCTAGATGACCCTACAAGCACAAAAACATAAATGCACAAAGATGACTGAATCCAGGATTGTTCATAATAGCCCAACCTGGAAACCAGCTAAATGTCCATTAGCCAGGAACTACCTAGTTAAAGGATAAAACATACCTGTAACAGACTAGTGTGCAGACATTAAAAATAATGATGTAGACCTGTATCCATTAAAACCAATGTGATCCACTATGTATTGCTGGGTGAGAAAAGCTCGTTATACAAGATCATATATAATAGGATCCCATTTGGAAGTGTAGTATTGTGGCTATTCTCCAACTTTCTGGAATCTGGAGCCCTTAACACTAAAAAAATTACTGAAGACCCCAAAGAACTTTTGTTTATTTTAGTTATATATTTATATATACCCATACATATATACTTACTGTATTTGAAAATCGAACTAAGAATTTAAACATTTTAAAATAAGAAGGTACCCATTTCATATTTAACAGAATAGTTTATGAAAAACAACTGTCTCTACCCCTCCCCCCAGTTAGTAAGAGAGTGGCACTGTTTTACATTTTTACATATCTCTTTACTGTCTGGCTCAGAAGAAGATGGGCAGAGTCTCACATAAGCTTCTGCATTACAGGAAGTGTATCTGTCACTGAGGCTGCCGTAACAAAGTACCACGGACTGGGTGGCTTCAACAACAGACAATTATTTTCTCACAGTTCTGGAGTCTTGGGGTTTAAGATCAAGCTGTTGGTAGGTTTGGTTTCTCCTGAGCCCTCGCTTCTCGGCTTGCAGGATGGCTGCCTTCCTGCTGTGTCCTCAGTGTGTCCAAATTCGCTCTTCTTGTAAAGACACCAGACGGACTGGATTAGGGCTGACCCTAACAGCCTCATTTTAACCTAATCACCCCAGTAAAAGCCCAATCCCCAAATAAACAGTCACATTCCGAGGTACTAGGAGTTAGAGATTCGACATGTAGATTTGGGTGGTCATGACTCAGCCCACAGCAGCAGGTACAAATGAAAATAGCTAGTAAGAGCACAGTAGAAGCACTCACAGCAAACTGAGTTAATCTCTGAAAATACATATATTTATACCCTAAACCTACAAATTTACAATATTCTAGAACACAAATGTACACACTCACACATTCCACTAACCATCAGGGTGATGTCACCATGTCACAGAGCCTCTGGAAAACTCCACTGAACACTCATGAGAGAATGAGTTAAAAAGGCACATAGCACCTTAGTATTTGTATGAAAACAGTTTGGACCTCCTCGTAGACATCCCCTAAAAGGTTCCTGGGGACTCCTAGAAGTCCAAAGGCCACACTGAGAGCTGCTGGTATAAGCTTTATGACTTAAGGCAATTTTTTTTTTTTTGAGACAGGGTCTCACTATCACCTAGGCTGGAATGCAGTGATGTGAGCATGGCTCACTGCAGCCTTGCCCTCCTGGGCTCAACTGATCCCACTTCGGCCTTTGAAGTGGCTGGAAATAGAGTCGCATGCCACCATGCCTGGCTGATTTTCTTTTGTAGAGACAGGGTGTCACCATGTTGCCCAGGCTGGTGTTGAACTCCTGGGCTTAAGTGATCCTCTTGCCTCCCTAAAGCGCTGGGATTACAGGTGTGAGCCACTGCCTCCAACTTTAAGAAAAATTCATTTACCTTGTTAAGTCTCAGTTTGTAAAATGAGGATAATAATACCTACTTAAGTGGGCTGTTGAAAAGATGTAAAAATAAATGACAAATGTGAGCACTCCACTAATATTAGCTGTTATTTGTGAAAAATTTCTTAACTTCTCACATTTGATATATGTTTAAATGTACAGGGAGTAATTTATTATTTATTCATTTTTTTATAGAGACGGGGTCTTGCTAGTTTGCCCATGCTGGTCTTGAACTCCTGGGTTCAAGTGAACCTCTGGTTTCAGCCTCCCATTTGAATTGAAGTATAACACACACTGACAAAAGCACAAAGCATAAGCTTGATGATTTTTCACAAAGTAAACTTGTCTTTGTTTAAAGGACATTTTACCAAAAAAAAAAAAAAAAGCTTTTAATAAAAACCGTAACAGCAGCCACTTTCCTCACTTCTAGCAGCATGGGCTTGAACATTCATGCTCCCTGTGGTATCAAGATGGAAGCCGACAGGTGGATACTCCACCGACTCAACTCAATACACCTCTAGTGCCGCTGGGTTCCCCTGAGCTCAGGGACAGAAGCTCCAGCACAGTGCAAGGGCACACCGGAACCAAATCTGAATTATTACGATGCTGGATTCTACTCAATGCCCAGTTTAGGAAAATCTAGAGCTCACTTTAAAAATAATCATTGTAAGTAACATTTATAATGTGTCTAAAGTAAAAATTACTCTCCATAACAAAGTTCCATGTATAACAATTCACAAATCCTGTGAAATAGCAAGTGAGAGATTTTTTTCCCTCTTCCTCTTAAAGGAATTGAGGGTGAAGTCAGTGCCTCAAAAGCTGGCTGAGCAGTGTTAGGTACAATGAACTATTTCAGTGTAGAATGAATTACAAAATGGTAACATGAAGGAAGGTTTGATTGCAAGCACAGCAGCAGCAAGTCCTCCAACATTTACCCCATTATCATCTGGTGAGAGGAAGTCTGCATCTAGAAAAATTCTTTTCTAACCCTAGCTCTAACCCTTTTAATGTTGTTACTCTCTACCATTTTGCTTTCTCATGAAAGTTCACATCGAAACTATCTGTTTACTCCCTCTTCCACAACAGCAATGAAA